TCTCTTTACTTAATAGGAAATCTTAGGCCACTAAGGTGGTTGCCAAAAATGAAAATGTTTCATGAAATCTTATAAAAAGTCATGTGAAATTAAATGAAATTAAACGAGTAAATGCGTATTAATTTATGCTTTTAACTAAATAAAAAAGAAATAATTATACTTACGATTGTATTAGTCTCTTAAAATTTTTAAACTGTGTTGTTTTCAAAACCTAAGATTCTAGATTTTCAAAGGTATGTCTTTCTAAAACTTTTGAATCAGGAGACCTAACTCAGAACAACATCATCTTAAATTTTAAAGCAATTTGGAAATCTGCTTGGCCCAAGGTTGGTTCATAATTACTATAGAATTTCAAACTTCACCTTAAGAATTGGGCTAATAATATAAAAACGAAGCCCAAACAAATCACGCGTCCGCTAGCTGAGCCACGTCTTGTATCTGTTTTCCCTCTGCCGCTGCGCACCTCAATTGCCATGGACAAACAACAAACCACCAGCTCCGCCCCTTCCACCACCACTCCCGCCGCTGCCGCTTCCTCCGCTTCCATTTCGGAGCCGCCACAACAACCACCGGTACAATCACAACCGCTGCAACAACAATTACCTCAATCTAGCACCCCCGTCACATCCTCCTCCTCCTCCTCCTCCTCCTCAAACCCTAACCCTAACCCAATCCCAAAACCCTTATCTGCAACAACACCACTGACTCCGCAACAACCGCCACAGCCTCTGGCGACTCCATCTCTGCTCAGACCTACTAGCGCCACTGCTGGTACCCCTTCACTCTCCAGGCCATGGCAACAGCAGCAGTTCTCACATTTTTCTTCTTCTTCGTCGGTTTCGTCATCGACGTCCCCATCCATTTCTGGTCCCCAGAGGGGTGGCATTCCAGTCAGTGTGGCCGCGGCGCATCCTAATCCTTCTTCTCCTCTTCCTTCTCCCTCGCAACCAACATCTTTTTCTGGTTCTTTTGGTCAACACTTCGGTACTGCATCTAACTCCAATGCTGCTCAGGTACGACTCTGGATATCTCTTTTCTTTTCTCCTTTTTATTAGATCTTAGCTCTCAATGGATAATTTGAGTGTTGTCGAACCCTAACCTGGGAACTTTAGAGACCTTTTCTTTTGCAGCTCACTTCCTGTTCATTTTTTTTGGTGTTGAAATAGACGCTTGTGTTTCTGTTTTTAACCCTTAAAACCTTTTATTTCTGAATTGACTTTACGTATTGTTTCAGGCTAGGCAGCCAATGCAGGGGATGCAAGGAATGGGGATGGTGGGGTCCCTTGGCTCGAGTTCTCAACTGCGGCCAGGTGGGATTTCTGCACACCATCAACAGAGACCTGTTCAAACACCTCTTAGACCAACATTATCTCCAAATAGCCAATCCACTGCCACCCAAGTTAGTCCTAGTTGTTGATTAATCCTTTTCTGCAACATTTTCTTGTTTTCTTACAATATTTGATGTTTACTTGTAAATTAAATGGTATTGTTTCCTGTGCACTATCAACAGAGGCCCGTGCGACCTCCTCTTGTACCACAGTCTTCCCAAAGTAGCCCATCCAATGCCACCCAAGTCAGTACTAATTGTGAATTCCTATGTCATTTGCATCATATTTCTTCTTTTTACAATATTTCCTATATCTAGATGCAAAAAAATGGTTTTTATTTTTCTGCCCTCCCAACAGACATGTTACGAAAACTTATTATGATACAATCAATACTCACATTATTGTTTAGAACTTTAAGTTGTGTTGAATATATATTAGATAAGTTCCAAACATCATTTTCGTTTTTTCCCTGTACTTTTGTGTCTTATTTCATATAGAAGATGCAGAAAGGCACTCTTTCCAATTTGTGGCAAATTTGTTGAATAATTCAAATGCTTAGGCTGTTAGTTTGCACTCTGACATGCCACCAAAAGAATATTTGAAATGCTAAGCATTAGGTTAAGATGGGCATTTTCATATAAGTTTCTAAGAAATCTGATATCTTATTTTACCGTTTTTTCTTTAAAAAGTGACTGATTTCTTATAGAAAATGAATAGAATCTATTCTCACCCAAGCTTCATTATCATTTGAAATCTTTCCTTAATTTTGGGTTTTGTATTGTCCTTTTTAGTAATCTTTTTACATATATTTTTTTTTTCTTTTCTATAGAATTTCCAGGGACATGGATTCATAAGAATGCCAGGTGTAGGTTCTGGTTCTCCAGCACCAAGTACATCACAGAGCATACAGGCACATAATCAGCCATGGCTTTCACCTGGATCACAAGGGAAACCTCCTCTGCCTCCTTCTTCATACAGACCACAGACCACCTCACCATCCTTGCAGCAAAGGTCACATGTACAGCACCATCCTTCACCTGCAGTTCCACAACAGCAACACGTGCCAACTTCACAGCTGCAACAACCTCAATCACCACATCAGCAGCAGGAGCATTACGGACAACAGTTTTCACAATCAAGGGTCCAGCCATCTTTACCCCATCAACAACAAATTCCTAGGACCCAGGCTTCTGCAAGTCAAAAACCTTCCTCTCTTGCAATTGTACAGCCTAATACAGTCCAGCCAGGGATGCAAAGTAGAATGGGTAATGCGGAAAGTGATGAATCTGGAGGTCATATTCTTAGCAAAAGAAGCATCCATGAGCTAATTACACAGGTAGGTAGATTTGGACCTAGTTTAGACTTTCTTATGTCTCCAAATTCGTTCTGTGAATGCAAATTCTTATATAATCTTGAGGGTACCACACTGCTATTACTTTTTCTGTGGGATTGAACTTTGTAAATTTTTATTTGGTTAAGGAATTGTTCAGGAGTCTTCAGCATTTGGTCATTAAGATCCTATTAAATGTTAACAGTAAGGTTTAAAATTCACCAAAAAAGGATGAAAAAAACTGAAAAGTAGTCTTTGAAAATTGGAATATTTTGTGATCTCCCTAGTTTTTTAAAAAGACCATGAGATATTGCTAGATATATATTGTCACAATCATCCCCTTGGCATGACTTTGCAAAAGCTTTATGACAACTGATGTGATTTGTTTTATGTGAAAGGAAAGAACCAAGTTTTAAATCCCTTTTTCTAAAAAAATTTTTTGGCAAAAATATTATGAAATTGGCCTTACAAGTAAGTTGCATTGCTTGTCTATCTATTACTTTTATCTTTGTACAATGTGCTTGTCTCATTGTGTCATGTATAACAATATGGAATCAAATTCAAAGTGAGAAGGAAGAAACAAGTGTGCTGTTTTGTATTTGTGGTAAAATTCCAGTTAGTATCTCAGAGCTTTTAAATCTTGATAAACGTGACTTGGAAGCATAGTAATTAGAATTTCTTAATGTTTGCCTTGGAAATCCACAAGTTTACTCATAACTCAACTTTAATGTTTTTGTCTGGATTTTCTGAAGTTACATTTACGTGTTATTGGTTCTCTCTCTATTTTGGACAGATCGATCCTTCTGAGAGATTGGATCCTGAAGTTGAAGACATTCTTGTTGATATTGCAGAAGACTTTGTAGATTCTGTGAGTTGTTATTGTTAGATTCTTTACCAAAGAATTTAAATCCTGACTTTGTATCCATGGTTTTGTTTCTTCTTGGTTAGTTGCATGATATCTAGGTCTCTGAAATCATGTTTAGAGTTGGCTTGATCCTTACCTGCAGGAGTTGACTAAAGGGTGTTTGGATAATCTGATAATGCAATTGGAGGGTTATTATTATTTTTGGGACTATTTTGTTTAAAACTCTAAATAAGCTTGAGCTGAAAGGAAAAGGTTAATTGTAAATCATACCTATTTGTTATTGTCTTTTTGATTCATTGGATAGAATATTTTATTAACCATTAGGGGTTAAAGAGGGACCTTTATATTGTGATTATATCCAAGATTTTTTTTTTTTTTTTCATTTTTGCAAATCTAAAGAGGTTCAGTGGATATTACAGTGATCAGGCATGAATACAGCACCTGGGTGGAGGAGAATTTTGATATCCTGCCATGAATCTGATAGACCAGTCATATAGGATATTCAGTTTATTTTATATGTTGTCTTGAATTCTGTCATAAACTGCAATGGCATTTTATTGAGCCATTACATCATAATTCCTCATTGCATTCTTTAAGTTTACTTCTTGCTCAAATATTCTAGCTTGGATGCTCAATAATTAATCAATGTTTTTGTTTTTACTTTGAGCAGATCACAACCTTTGGTTGCCAACTAGCAAAGCATAGAAAGTCAGATACATTAGAAGCAAAAGACATACTAGTACATCTTGGTTAGTTATGCTTTGAAAGTGTAACATGATCTTTGCATTCTGTGTTGAAGTTTAATGCTTAATGGTCATTGTTCTTCTGCCCTGTCCTGCTGCAGAGCGTAACTGGAATATGACTCTTCCTGGATTTAGTGCTGATGAGATTAAGACTTACAAAAAACCAGTAAGAATATATTCTATTTGATCTATGGGGGGATATGTCACATATGTTTTCACTACAAGTGTTATAGTGGGTAGAATGTTCAAATTAGTTGTACCTTTTTTTAGTAAGTTTATCTTTGTTTTGCAGCTCACAACTGAAATTCACAAGGAGCGGCTCACAGTGGTAAGTTTCAACCCCTGACCCCATTATTCTTCCCTTCAAATCGCTCATGAAAGATGATGATTGTATTTTCATATTTATAAGAATTTGTGGAGAGGGAAGCAGATACATCCATATTCAGCCTAAATTTTAAAAGAAATTCTGGTCAATGTTTCTCTTTGGCAGATAAAGAAGTCAATCTCAGCAAGTGAGGCAGCAAATGCTAGGAATATTTTTGGCCAAGCTACTGCAAATGCGAAGGGTAACCTAGGGAAGATGCCTACAAATTTTTTGGGGTCACCAAATCTCAAGATACGTGAAGTTACATGATACCATTTTTTTACAGTTTTGGATGCCTGAAGCTGTTTGCTAATGAAGGTATGCAGACTATCATACAGATATGATATATTTGTTTATGCAGCCATGTATTTAGAGTTTGCACATGGGACCTACCCTTGTAATTTAGGTTATTAGTTGTGTTAGCTGTCTATGAACTATGATGAGGGAACCGTTCAGTCATTCCAGACTATTAGTTTTACCTATAATATTTACTGCAGGCTTCATTTAACACACCTATGGTTGTGTTGAATCCTCTACTCTTAATTGGGGCTTTCTTCCTGTTGGGAAATAATGAACCTGTGCTGTCTTGTTCTTGGAGGAAGCTGAGGTTACAAGTCAAAATCATGTTATGAACCTGATATGTCTGATTTGAACCCCATCCCTAGCCCAGGTGGTTATCCATGGACTAGTCAGCTTGGATGATCACAGTTTTAGCCCCCTCTAACTCCCTGCCCCTTGGACAAAAAAAGCAATTGCCATAGTCTGATGTGATCTGCATAGTGATTGCCTTATGCTTGCAGTTTTTAATCTTATGTCTGGAGTATGCCTGCCTTCTTCGTTTTTTTTTTAATAGCATGTCTGGTTTGAGGGAAATTAAATTTTGATTTGATGAAAATTTTTTCCCTACCCCCTTCTCTGCATTGTCCTCAAACCAATCACACTTTATAATGATACTCATCATGCTCATTGTCATACAGGTTCATTTTATAGAAGAATGAACCATGATGAACCGTGGAACCCAGACAAGATTTTCCTTAAATTTTGGGACAGAATATACCATATGAATATACCCTGGTGCCCACTTTGACATTTCCGTTAATTTGAGGGGCCACCAAGTTGTTTTGTAGCTGCGGCAAACCTAATTTCTTCTTTTTGGTATAACTAACGATGGGTCATATATAAGGAGATGGTTTCCCTCTAACAGTAATTTTTTCCCGCTTGACTCAGTTTGTACTAAAGACATTCAATTTAGAGTCTCAACCTCTTACTAGTTGATAGTCCCCAATATAATTGCCCTAGCGAATTCTCTTTTATTGGTCAATTGTTGAACTGTGGAAGCCTGGAAGGCAAGGCAGGCTTTTAAAGAAAACCTGGCGAAGTAAATTTTCAATTCTGTATCTAACTGGGTGGAATGGTAGACAAGCGTTTTGTTCAAGTATACCAGGAAAAAGATGGGAGACGTGTGTGTGGAGAAAAAGGTGGAACCCTTTTTGGGAATACTCTATGTAGGGAAGATAAAGCGAAAATTGGCCGGTGCACATCACGAAACGTGGGCTCCTTGCCTTGTCTTGACTTGGTGGCAATTGGTAAATGATGAATGGGCATGTGCCATTCTGCTTATGCTTTCTAGTATGCACAGTTGGTTGTACCCAACCCGTAACCCTCCTGAATTAACGTGCTCCTTTTTTATTGGGGGGATGGGGAATTACAAGAGTCAGTGTTTTCTTGGGCTGAAGTTTGAATGTGACGGGTCATTAAAAGGTTGATCTTACTTTTTCTACGATAGGTTTTATGTAAGTTCTGTCAGAATATTTTAGTACTTTTTTTTGTTTTCGGTACAAGTGCCAGGAGCAAGTAATTTTTAAGTTAGTTAAAGAATAACATATTAGCTTCGAAGGAAAATAAAAAATAAAATAAAAAATTTATTTTACTTTTTATTAAATTATAAAATAATAATTTTTAGATTGAGAAGGATCTTTTAATATTGGATATTTTTTCTTTTAATTTAAAATTTTTAATTTTATAATATAATATCATATAATTTAAATTATAAAACATAAAATAAAAAATACTAGTTGCTTCGTTTCTGCCATGGATATAGCTGTGC